CTGTCTACCTGCACCAGCCCTGCTGCTACTTTTTGAAACATTAACTTCTGTAATCAGCTGTGACCTCCCCCCTTCTCCCTCTCCCCACCCCTGCAGAATCCCTAGCCTTTCCAGTCTTAATCTTGGGGGCAAAGTCCCAGAGCTGGCTGAGATACACAGTTCTTGTGTCCTTTGTTCTCAGGAGCCAGGGTCTCACTGTGGGAGGGTGGGGGGTGGTCTGGAATTCATGATCCTCCTGCCAAGATTACAGGCATGCCCCACTATACCTGGCTAAAGTTCTTTGTATACTGCAGACCCTTGAGATTGACACAGGTAGGGACAGCAGCTTGTAAGAATCCCCAGAAATCTTGATACCTGTGGAGGTGTGTGTGTGGGGGGGGTCCTCCACGGTACCCAGCAGTGGGAATCATTTGTACTTCCCAGGCAAAAATTAGGCCGGGCGCTGGTGGCTCATGCCTGTCATCCTAGCTCCTCAAGAGGCTGAGAACTGAGGATCGCAGTTTGAAGCCAGCCCAGGCAGGAAAAGGGAGATTTTTCTCTCCAGTGAACCACCAGAATACCGGAAATGGAACCATGGCCCAAAGTGGTAGAGCGCTAGCCTTGAGCAAAAGAGGTCAGGGACAGAGGTCAGGCGCTGAGTTCAAGCCCCACAATCTGACCAAAAACCAAAAGCAAAAGCCCCAAACCCAAATAACCACCTGACCAGGTTTGGGCACATAAAGAACGCATGGTGGGTGCAGAGGGCTCGGCTCTCCCTCCCTCCCAGGCCCACATGCTCTCTTCCAGAGTTTTTAATCCCTTCATTAAAATTGTGTAGAGCTCTTCAGTTCTATTGCTTTTTATTTATTTTTTCTTGTCTTACTGCGCTGGTCAGCACCTCACTGCCGGAGCGTCCTCAGGCCCCGTCAACTTGCCGTTGATGGGAACGGATTTCCTGGAGTTTCTGCCCGAACATTGCCATAAAGACAGGCTCCGGCCTTCTTCCTTTTAAGTTCTTTCTCTCTCCCTCTTTTTTTGTTTTTTTTTGTCGGTCGTGGGGCCTGAACTCTGGGCCTGGGCGCTGTCCCTCAGCTCTTCAGCTCAAGGCGAGCACTCTACCACTTGAGCCACAGCACCACTTCTGGCTTTTTTCTTTTTGCTTATGTGGTGCTGAGGAATCAAACCTCAGGCATGCAAGGCAAGCGCTCTACCATTGAGCCACCTTCCCAGCCCCTGATCTCAGCCTTTCTGAGTAGCTAGGATGACAGGCATGAGCCACCGGTGCTTGACTTCCTCCTTTGGTTTTGAGACAGGATCTCATTCTCTACACAGGCTGTGCTACCACAGTGGGCTGCTTCTTTAGTTTCTTTGTGGCTTGCCTTCTTCCCTCCTTCCCTTCCTCCCTCCCTCCCTTCCTTCTTCCTCCTCCCTCTCTCCTTCCCCCTGTCCCTTCCTTCCTCATTTCTGGTGGTTGTGGGCTTGAACTCGGGGCCTGGGCGCCGTCCCTGAGCTCTTTTGCTCAAGGCTAGTGCTTTACCACTTTGAGTCACAGCTCCCCTTCCTGTCTTCAGGTGATTCATTGCATTAAGAGTCTCACAGTCTTTCCTGCTCCAGCTGGCTTCAAACAGATCTCAGATCTCAGCCTCCTGAGTAGCTAGGATGACAGGCGGGAGCCGCCAGTGCTTGGCCCATCCTCCTTTTTTATTTTTGTTAGTCATGGGGCTTGAACGCTGGGCCTGGTCACTGTCCCTCAGCTCTTCAGCTCTAGGTGAGCACTGTACCACTTGAGCCACAGAACTACTTCCGGTTTACTGGTGATTCATGGGATACAAGAGTCTCACAGACTTTCCTGCCCGGGCTGGCTTTGAACCACGACCCTCAGATCTGAGTCTCCTGAGTAGCTAGGATGACAGGCGTGAGCCCCCAGCACCCAGCTGCATCCTCCTATTTTTTTAATGCTGGGATTAATCGAGCCCCAGACCTGCACTCTAGCCCTGAGCCACACCCCAACTTCCATCTCTGGGCAGTTTTTGTTTCTTGTTTTTGGATGTCTGCTTCCCATTGAACGGCGCTGACGCTTCTTCTTCTCTCATGAATGGCCACAGGCAAAGGCATCATTAAGCCGCGCTGGCCGTGGCCGGCGGGTGACTGGACGGGTGGCCACATTGTGTTTTCAGCCAGCGGGCGCCAGGCAGGCTGTCTTTCATCTCTGAACCTGCTTGTTTTTCAGGAAAGCCGGGTTTCTGTGCAGAGCCCTGTGGCTTTTTACTATTGACTCAGCTTAAACGCTGGCCTCCAGGAGACCCCGACGGCCGCGCTGTGGACTGGAGGGGCAGAGCAGGGCAGGGACGTCAGGCCTCAGTCACTCACCTTCCTCCTGCCAAGACCTAGAGTGCTGCCTTTGCTGTCCTTACTGCCCCAGTGCGGGGCAGGGCCAGAGCCATTACATGGCTGTACAGCCTGGGGCTGGCATCTGTGGCTGCCACGGGACCCTCTTTTTTTTGTTGGTCTTGGGGCTTGAACCATAGGCCTGGGCACTGTCCCTGAGCTCTTCAACACAAGGCTAGCGCTCTACCACTTGAGCCACAGCACCACTTCTGAGTTTCTGGTGGTTCATTGGAGATAAGGGTCTCACAGACTTTTCTGCCCAGTCTGGCTTTGAACTGTGATCCTCAGATCTCAGCCTCCTGAGTCGCTAAGAGTACAGGCATGAACCACTGACACCCAGCAACAGGACCTCTTTTATAAAGGAGCAAAAGTGAGAACACAGCATCTAGCCTGGCCCTGTGCAGCCCAGACCTGGGGTCCCAGGAGTCAGTGGTCAAAGGCTGGATGGTCACCCGGTGAGCCTGTGCAAAGGTCCTGTGGCAGGCAGAGCCTGCAGTGTTGAAGGAGCAGCAAGAAGGCCTGGAGGGAGGGAGTGGGGCTGGAGGCGGGTGAGAGATGGGGGTCTTATAAAGGAAATTACTCAAATGGTCAGGGGTGGAAGGAGGTAGATGGAAATGCTGTGCCTTCCTCTGGGCCTGCCAGCCACCCCTACTTCCCACACGCCCTAGCACTTCCTCCACCTGGGCGGTGGCTTCCTGGAGAACACCCCCCCCCCCTGCACCCAGCCCCCACTCTCCACAGCACAGCCCAGATCCTAGAGGGGACACAGTGTCACGGGGCAGGGCTGGTGACACCTCCCCCTCCACCCCAAGCCCAGCTTGCAGTTTCTGCTTCCTCTGAATTCCAGCTCCTTCCCACTTCCTCTCAGTCCCCCCGCCCCCCCCCCCCCGCCCTGCCTCCTCCAGCAGCCACCCTGCTGGGGGTGTGGCTCCAGTTCAGTGCTCCCAGCCTCAGTTTCCCCCATTCAGTGGGAGAGGCAGGCCTGGCTGAAGTCTGTGGTGCAGAGGAAGAGCGATGTCAGTCCAGCAACAAAGCTTCATGGGCTTGGACCCAGCCAGAAAGGACTGGGATGGGGGCTGCAGGCCCCAGTTTGGGGGGGGCGGATTTTGGATTTTGAGAGCAGGGTGACAGGCAGGGGAAGGTAAGGGGCAGCTTTGCCAGGAACCAACCAGGGGCTTCTAGAATCGTCTTCTGGCCTGGGTTCATTTTACAGGTAGAGTAACCTGAGGCTCAGAAAAGCAGGTGAGTCTGGCGCCGGCGGCTCCCGCCTGTCATCCCAGCGACTCAGGAGGCTGAGATCTGTGGCTCACGGTTCAGAGCCAGCCTGGGCAGGAGAGACCGTGAGATTCTTATCTCCAATGAGCCACTCGGAAAACAGGAAGTGGCGCTGTGGCTCAAGCGGTAGAGCGATCGCCTCGAGCTGAAGAGCTGAGGGACAGCGCCAGGCCCAGAGTTCAAGCCCCATGACCGACGAAAAGAGAACAGCGGGCGAGGGTGGCGGTAAGGTTTGCCAGGTGTCGGGTGACCCGCCCTGGCCCATCAGGCCCCCAGAGGCTGGGACAGCTGGTGTTGGGGACACCAAGACACAGGGTGCCCGTTGGCTGGACAGCGGCCCCGGACTCCTCAACAAGGTCCAGAACCGCGCATGCCCCACGCCCGGGCTCACCCAGGAATCATTTGTGAGGACGCCAGGGCAGACACCCTCAGCTTCCAGCACCTTCCACCACCTGGGGGGCCTGTGATGCAGGATGGGGGGACCCTGGAGCAGCCCCGCCTGTCCTAGGAAGGGGTGACCCAAGTGGGCTGAGCTCCACACTTGGGGTCCAGCAACATCTCATGGGGGGGACGCACAGGGTCGGACCCCATCTCGGCCAGGCTCTCCATGCCCACCTTCACGTCTCCGTGCCCCATGCCAGCACCCGGGAGGGAAGCTGGCGCCCCGCCACCCCCCCCTTCTGCCTGGGGACAGCCCAGGGACCATGACAGACACCCCCCCACTGGGCAGGGATTGGGGCTCTGGGGTCCACGCAGCAGGCCCTCCCCGGCACCCCGGGCCACCGCCATCCCCAGCCTGCGTCGTCCCTGAAGCTCAGGCGGCCATGGGTGGTTTCTCTGTACCCCAGACAGTGGTGACTCGGGCCTGGACCCCACTCCCCCAATAGCGTAGCCCCCCCCATGGCCCCGGCCCCTTCCACGTGCCCGTTGGGTGGACGTGTGCTGCTGGGCACCCCAGGTTCCTGTGGCAGACGCAGGGGGGGGGGAGGTCAGGGCAGGGTGGCAGCAGGCTTCTCCCTGGAGAAGGCCCGGAGTGGACACGGCTCTCCCCCCCCACCATGGCTCCCGTCATTCCCCATGGCAGAGCAACCCGCTCTGACCGGGCAGTGTCCCACAGGAACCCCAGGCTACTCACCGTCCCCTCCTTGGTCCGTGATGGCCGGAGGGGTGGGGCAGAGGTCAAGGCCCCTGGGGCAGGACAGGTGCCAGTCCTGGCTGGGTGGCACTTGGGCCTCTCCACGCACCTGTGACTCGAGGACTTTCTAGATCAAAGGGGGACAAACCTGCCTCCGATGAGGGGAGGGAGGATGGACCCCCAGTGTGGCTCACCCTGAAAACTCTCTTCTCTCTCCCAGGTCTGGCTCAGAAGAAGACGGCCCTGACTGAGGTGAGCCCCGGGGTGGAGGGCTGGGGTCCCGCGCAGACTGGCCTCCGTGAGAAGATGGGCGAGGGAGAGAGGCGTCCTAGCTGCCCCAGCTGCTGCTGTGTGTCCTCAGACCGCTCGCTGTACCTCTCTGGGCCCACATTTTAGAATGTGGTCATGTGGGATGAACATCCCATCTGTCCTGCCAGCCTGAGTTGGGGTGGGGGAGGCTGGGGACCTCCCTGTGTCCCCACACGCACCCCACAGGGACCACAGCCCTGACAGGCCAAGCTGCTGCGGACAGCCACCCATCCTGTGCCCTGCCTGAGCCTCCCGTGTCCACAGAGCCCGGAGGACTCCATCCGCCGGGCCAGGGACAGATCTTTGGATGGGGAGGCAGGAAGTGGGACCCCAAGATGCCAGGACAGGAGGAGGCCTACATGGGACAAGCACGCCCCCTGGTGGCCGCTGCCAAGAACGCCCTGAGCCGGGCACTGAGGCCCCAGTGGTGGGTGGTGGCTGGACACCCCCATCCCGGAGCCGCTGCTGTCCATCAGCCTGGTGATGGCCGCTGGGACACGTCCACAACGTTGTCGCCCTCCCGGGCGCAGTGACTCAGCCCCTTCCCTGGGGCCTTCCAGACAGACTTGCTCGCGCCTCTTCCCTGACCTGACGCTTCCCGCTTGTCCCCAGGCCCCGTCGGTGACTGGACAGCCCGGCCCTGGCCATGGGAAGAAGCTGGGCCACCGAGGCGTGGACGCGTCCGGCGAGACCACCTACAAAAAGGTCCCTCGCCTGCCCCGAGTCGCCGTGTGGGTGGGGCGGGGCCCCTGGGGGTCTCAGCTGAGTCCCCCAGGACAGCAATCGGGGTCACGTGGCACGTTCCCAAATGTGGGACCGTGAGGAACTCCCTGGAGAGCTGGATGATCCCAGCGAATGAGAGAACAGGCCTGGGAGGGATGGCTCCTGCCACTGGGGACAGAGGGTGGCTCCCCCAAAGTGCTCAGGGAGCGAGGCACGCCCCCATGGCCATGACAAAACACGAGCAGCATGTGCTGCTGAGAGCGCCCGAGCTCCTGACCGCAGCCAGCCGCAGCTTCCAGGAGTGGGAACAGGCTCAGGCAATGGCGTAGAGAGCTGGTGGAAGGCCCGCATCGTGCCGTCATCCCAGCTGCTCCGGAGGTGGGGAGTCAACACATTCATGGTTTGAGGCCAGCCCTGACCACCCCCCCCAAAAAAAAACTTCATAAGACCTCATTTTAGCCAACAAGCTGGGCATGGTAGTACCCAGCTGTGATCTCAGCTACTGAGGGAAGAAGCATAAACCGAAATGTGATCTGAGGCTAGCTCAAGACAGACACCATCAGAAAAAGAACTAGCCAGGGGCTGGTGGCTCACACCTCTGATCCTAGCTACTCAGGAGGCAGAGATCTGAGGAGCACAGTTTGAAGCCAGTCCAGACAAGAAAGGCTGTTAGGATTTTATCTCCAATGAACCACCAGAAAACTGGAAGTGGAGCTGTGGCTCAAAGTGGTAGAGCACTAGCCTTGAGCAAAAAAGAGCTCAGGGACAGCGCCCAGGCCCTGACTGAGTTCAAGCCCCACACCAAGATAAAGAAAAAAAAAAAAACAAGCTTCTCAAGCAGTAGGGGTGTGGCTCAAGTAGGAGAGCTCCTGCCGAGCAAGTGCAAGGACCTGGGTTTGCCCATCCCCCTCCAAAAAAAAGGGAACTGGAGTTTATGGGAATAGAAATTAAAGTAATTGAGGGATCACTCTGAATTGTGGCGCTCTATAGAACAAGCCCAAGTAGTTTTAGGATGTGGGAGCCTTCTAGAATGTAGCCAGAAACCAGGCCCTGGGGCTAAAAAGAAAAATGTCAGGCCAGCCGGGGAACCAGCGCTCACGCCTGTCATCCCAGCTACTCAGGAGGCTGAGATCTGAGGATCACAGTTAAAAGCCAGCCCAGGCAGGGAAGTCCGTGAGACTCTTATCTCCAATAAAACACCAGGAAACCAGAGGTGGTGCTGTGGCTCAAGTGGTAGAGCGTTCGCCTTGAGCTGAAGAGCTGAGGGACAGCGCCCAGGCCGAGTTCAAGCCCCATGACTGACAAAAAAAAAGAAAGTCAGGCCAGACCCTTGCCCTGCAGTGTGGCCAAGAGCACCCCTCCCCCGCTGACACTCCTTCCCTGCAGCCCATAGCGGGCGGTCACCGGCTTCCGGCAGGGCTGGGTGGCAGCTGGGGTTCAGCAGGAACAGGGGCCCGGTGACAGCAGGGAGCACACAGGCCCAGGGAATTGATGCCATTGGTTCTTCCTCCCCTCCCCACCCCCTGCAGACAACCTCATCCACCCTGAAGGGTGCCATCCAGCTGGGCATCGGCTACACCGTGGGCAACCTGAGCTCCAAGCCTGAACGTGATGTGCTCATGCAGGACTTCTACGTGGTGGAGAGCATCTTCTTCCCCAGGTAGGGCCGGGCCCACCCTTGGCCCATGACACCTCGCTCCTCACGTGGAGACCCTGCAGCCTCCCCTGAGCAAGCCGGGGGGGGGGAGGGGGAAGGGGGGAGAGCAATCTTTTTTTTTTACCTCTCACATAAAAAGAATCAGCCAGAGCCTGGAGCTGGGTAACTTACGCCTGTCATCCTGGTGTATTCGGGAGGCTGAGATCCGAAGGATCCCAGTTTGAGGCTAGCTCGGGCAGAAAAGTCTATGAGACTCTTTATCTCCAAGTAAGCAGCAAAAAGCCCAGCTGGAGGCATGATTAAAATGATAAAGTGCCAGCAGAACAAGCGAGCTGAGCAAACTTGACACCTCAAGTTCAAAGCCAGAGAGAGAGAGAGAGAGAGAAAGAGAGAACAATCTGACCCAGTAGAGAGAGAGAGAGAACAATCTGACCCAGTAAGGCACGTACCTGCAATCACAGCTACTCAAGGCTAATCTGGGAAAAATGTTTGCAAGATCTTATATTACTCAGTAAAAAGGTGGACAAGGTAACACATATTTGTCATCCCAGTTACAAAAGAAGAGTAGGTAGAATTGTTGTCTGGGCTGGTTAGGGAATAAAAGGAGAAGCCTATATAAAAATTTTACTAAAGCAGAAAGAGTTGGAGGTGTGACTTAACTGGTAGAGCACCTACCTAGGTAGTATGACACCTTGAGTTCAAACTCAAGTACCATCTAAATAAAGAACTGCAAGTATCTTGGTGTGAATGTGTACACCTGTAATCCCAGCTACTTGGGAGGCGGAGGTAGAAGGATCAAGATTTGAGGCTATTGAGAGCATTGTTGAGCTACTGAGATAAGTAATCTTCATACCACTCTACATCTGGATGTGGGATAATAAAATGCCTTTATGATTTAAAAAAAAAAAAAGATTTGAGCTTAGTTTAAGCCAAGTTGGCACTAGACTTAAACTTAAAAGCAAGCATGGTATGGTAGCATACTCCTAAAGTCCCAGCAGAGGAAAGATCATGGTCTCAAGATGGGCCCTGGCAAAGTTAGCAGAATACCCTATCAGGAACAAAAACAGCAACAACCACCAAAAAAAAAAAGTCTAGGCGCCTGTGGCTCATGCCTGTAATCTTAGCTTTTCAGGAGGTGTGGATCTGAATATTGTGGTTTGAAGCCAGCCTGGGCAATAAAAAGTTCCTGTGAGACTCTTATCTCCAATTAGCCACTGAAAAACTGGAAGTGGCACTGTGGCTCAAGTGGTAGAGTGCTAGTCTTTTTTTTTGGCAGGGGGGGGGTGGTGGGTCCAGCCGTGGGGCCTGAACTCTGGGCCTGGGCACTGTCCCTCAGCTCTTCAGCTCAAGGCTAGCACTCTACCACTTGAGCCACAGCGCCACTTCCAGCTTTTTTCTTTTTGCTTATGTGGTGCTGAGGAATCAAACCCAGGGCCTCAGGCATGCAAGGCAAGCGCTCTACCACTGAGCCACCTTCCCAGCCCCAGAGTGCTAGTCTTGAGCACAAAGGGCGCCTAGGCCCTGAGTTCAAGCCTCACAACCAACAACAACAACAAGGACTGGGACTATTGCATAGATAAATAACTAGGACATCCATGGCTAGTCGGCTGACTTTATGATGTTGGGGTTCCCAGGTCAACTTGTTGCTCAGTTCTTCCATTCTAATAAGAGACTTGTGTAACCAGAGGTCTCTGGTGGGAGCCCAAGCTCCTGCCATCACATCTGCATTCCAACAGGGAAGAAAGGCATAACCAGGAAATAATATGCATCATTTCCAGTCTGCCTGCAGGTCATTGGCTGAGTGGAATCGCATGACCATGCCTAGCTGCAAGAGCAGTGGGAGCGGTCATCTCACTCTGGGCCATGTGAGGTGGGCTCCACTGCTAATAAGAGACAGGACAGAGTGGTCACTGGGATACAGCCCAGGGCCGGCCACAGGGCCTTTGTGTGGCTGGGTATTGGGACAAATGGGGAGAGGTGCCCCTAAAACCCACTGCTCCTCACAGACATCCCCCCCTGCGTCCTCCTCCGCAGTGAAGGCAGCAACCTCACCCCTGCCCACCACTTCCAGGACTTCCGGTTCAAGACTTATGCCCCTGTCGCTTTCCGATACTTCCGGGAGCTCTTTGGGATCCGGCCGGATGATTACTTGGTAAGCTGTCACCCCATGAGTGACTGAGAACAGCACCAGGTGTGAACTCTCGATGGAGGGCTGGGATTTAAAGGCAGGGAGCAAGAGAAAGAAGGGAAGGGACGCCACAACCAGGAAATCACACAGTTTATGTACCGCTCCAAGCTCATTGGCTGAGCACAGTCACATGACCAAACCTAGCTGCAAGAGAAGCTGGGTAAAGGTATGTCCCCCATGACCTTAGCTTCACCGAGGGATTTCATTGTCATTGTGATATTTCCACATGGGAATATACTTCGGATTCACTCCTGTTTCATATTTGGTTTTTGGTTTGGCTTTTTTGTTTGTTTTTTGCAATACTAGGGTTAGAACTCAGGACCTCACTCTTTTTTTTTTTTTTTTTTTTTTCGGTGGTGGGGCTTGAACTCTGGGCCTGGACACTGTCCCTCAGCTCTTCAGCTCACAGCAAGTGCTCTACTGCTTGAGCCACAGCGCCACTTCGGGTTTCTGGTGATTAATTGGAAATAAGAGTCTCATGGGCTTTCCTGCCCGGGCTGGCCTTGAACTGCGATCCTCAGATCTCAGCCTCCTGAGTAGCTAGGATTGCAGGTCTGAGCCACCGGCCCCCAACTGGCTCTACCTCTACCTCTTAAAAGGTGCCTCCTGGGGAGGAGCCAAGCCTTCCACACATGAGCTTTTGTGCATTACCCCTCCTGAGGGTGCTGCTGCTGCAGGCTCCGTCTCCCAATTCCAGTGTCTCGAGTCTCCCCAGGGTTCCTGCGAAGGCCACCGGGCAGTGGGAGGGGCTAAGGCGCACCCGGGGTTTGAGGTAGAAGCCAAGTCACGTGATTGCTGAGGCGTCGTGGTCTCGCTTAGAGCAGTAGAAAAATGGGTCCCAGGTCTTCCTTTCTGTGAGCTACGATTTGGGAGGGGAGGGCCCAGGCTTGCACCCGTGGGGGAGGCGAGGGACGGAGCTGGGCATGGGCTTCTGTCTCCTGTGGATATTTGTGGCTGGTGGCTGTGGGCGGAGAAAGGACAGACATATGGCCAGGCCTGGCAATGACTACAGCTTGGACGTGCCTCCTCAGCCACCACCACCCACCCCCGGCTGTGAGGAAGACAGAGTGACACCCACATGTCAGTAGAGAGAAAACGGGGAAGAGACGCGGGGAGTGAGACCCAGGGCTGGGGTCCATGGAGAAGCTGTGCAGGTGGGGGCTGCACGTTAGACACGCAGCCCTCCTCTCTCCGCTGTCATTGGTAGATCAGCCCTCCTCTCTCCGCTGTCATTGGTAGATCAGCCTTCCTCTCTCCGCTGTCATTGGTAGATCAGCCCTCCTCTCTCCGCTGTCATTGGTAGATAACCTCTATCCCGAAAGTCCCCTCGTGGCCCAGCATGGCTCCTGGGGCTCCAGCTGTCATGTCAAGGTTTCAGGTGGGAAGTAGATGGGAAGGAGAGAGGGCAGAAAAGCTCTCTGAAACTCACCAGGTGTCGGTTACTGGTAGAGAGAGAAGGCCCCCTGGGGAATGCACCCAGCAGGTCAGCACCCAGGTCCTCCCTATGCTCCTCCCTTACTTAGCCTCCATTTCTGGGCCTCTCACCACCCTGCCCCTGCCTTCCAGTACTCTCTGTGCAATGAGCCACTGATTGAACTGTCCAATCCGGGTGCCAGCGGCTCGCTGTTCTACGTCACCAGCGACGACGAGTTCATCATCAAGACGGTCATGCACAAGGAGGCCGAGTTCCTCCAGAAGCTACTACCCGGCTACTACATGGTGGGTGGGGGGCCCGGGGGTCGCCGAAGGGGTCCCTGTGGGGGAGGCGTGGGGAGGCAGTGAGGCTCTGGCCCCAGACTGCCTGCCTGGCTCATGCAAACAGGGCCCACCTGGCCCTAGGTAGCCACCTCCGGAAGGGGCGGTGGCCTGTGGCCAGGCCTACCTGATGCCCCCATCTCTCTAGTGTCCCAGAAATTGTGGGTCTGAGCTACCCAGGCACATGGCCAGTGGTGGTATTTTGGCTCTGTGGGACAAGCCCGGTAGACCAGAACCGGCCCTCTGAAAGAAATCTGGGGTGCCGGGATGGAGCAGGATGGATTCACCCCTCCTTCTAATGTCTTTCTCTCTCTCTCTCTCTCTCCCTTCTCCCCCTTCCCCCAACCTCCTCCCCCGGCTGGCAGAACCTGAACCAGAACCCACGCACACTGCTGCCCAAGTTCTACGGGCTGTACTGCGTGCAGTCAGGCGGCAAGAACATCCGAGTGGTGGTCATGAACAACGTGCTGCCACGCGTGGTCAAGATGCACCTCAAGTTCGACCTCAAGGGCTCCACGTACAAGCGGCGGGCCAGCAAGAAGGAGAAGGAGAAGAGCATGCCCACCTACAAGGACCTGGACTTCATGCAGGACATGCCCGAGGGGCTGTTGCTGGACGCTGACACCTTCAGCGCCCTGGTCAAGACCCTGCAGCGAGACTGCCTGGTGAGGCCCCGCCCACTGTCAGGCCCCGCCCACGGCCAGCCTTGATCACACCTGCCCACCAAGCCCCACCCGTGATCAGACCAAGCCATGCCCACTAATCCCTCAGCATCATGCTCACAGTCAAGCTCCGCCCATCAAGCCACGCCCACCACCCATGTGCTCCATGGCCCCCACTCCCAGAGCCTGTTCTCTTGTAAGGGGAGTAATTCTATATTCCAGCGCCTGGTGGCCATGCAATCTCAGCCAGCCCACACACTGCACCCCTAGTTCTTCCTCAGCCATGATGCTCTAGGCTAGAGGTGGGACCTGCACTTCAGGGAGTCTCACCAGCCCAGATCTAGGCATTCATCCCCAAACAACACAGAAAACGGGCTGGGACATGGCTGTGGGGGTAGAACACCCACCTAGCCAGCACAAGGCCCAAGTTCAAGCTCCAGTATTGAAAAAAAAAGTGGGGGTGGGGGCAGGGGAGAACCAAGCCCTGTGGCTCATACCTGGCTACTCGAGAGGCTGGCGTGGGGAGGATGGAGACTTAGCGGCAGCCTGGAAACAGGGAGACACCCCATCTCCCCCCGTGCCAACACACTGGGCATGGTGGAGTGCACCTGTCATTCCAGCTACACTGGAAGGCGTAGGTAGAAGGGTCTCAGTGTGGCAGCATTAGACCCGCCTGAAAAGTAACCACAAGTAACTAAAGCTGAAGTTGAGAGCTTGTCTCAAGAGGTGGAGCGGCTGCCTCGCAAGTGTGAGATGGAACTCAGACTTCAGGACATGCACAGGCACCTTGAGCCTTTCACGTGACTTGGGCTTTAAGGCAAGAAGTCTGCCTCACTGGACGATCTGAGCCCTAAGGTGTTAGCAGGGATGAGGAGGTTGACTCTGCACAGAGACATTTGTCCATCAGACCCGTAGTTCCTGGTACTCTGGACTCCAAAGAGGATGACTTGTGAAGGGAGACATAGCTCCGTGAAGCTCAGCAAGAACCTTGAGCCAGCATTTAAGCTAGGAAAGGAGGCAGACCCGGCCCAAAATGGAGGCAGAGATGCCAGGCCTGGTCCTGCTTCCGAGTGTCCACTGCCTGTGCCGGCCTGAGGGCTGAGTGAGTGCGTTAGCAAAGCCCCAAAGCAATAAGATGGCCCCCACCTTCTTCCCTAGCCAGTCAGGAGCAGAACCTGTGTCTGCAATCTCCTGTGCTTTCCAGAACTTGACAGGTATCCCCAGAAAACCCCCAGCCATGCCAGGGGGGACATCCCTGAGCCTGGGTGGCCACAGTCCTGGTCTTCCTGGAATATAGCCTGTGGAGGGCTGGCCCCAGTTTTTGGCGCCTGCTGTAACTGGACCCTCTGGTCCCTTGGGATGGTGACAGGACCCCTGTGGCTAGGGGGTGATGGGGGGAGGGGGGAGGAGGGGGTCTGGGGGCCCCTCAGATGTGACACGCAGCATGTCGTGATCTGGGGTCTCCCCCGCCAGGTGCTGGAAAGCTTCAAGATCATGGACTACAGCCTGTTGCTTGGCGTCCACAACATTGACCAGCAAGAGCGAGAGCGGCAAGCAGAGGGCGCCCAGAGCACCTCGGATGAGAAGCGGCCCGTGGGCCAGAAGGCGCTCTACTCCACCGCCATGGAGTCCATCCAGGGCGGGGCTGCGCGGGGGGAAGCCATCGAGACCGATGACACGTAGGTGGGGTGGGGGAGAGCCACCCACCTTCCACCCTGCCCTCCCCTGGGGCGCCAGCTCATCCCTGAGTTGGGAGAGGAACCTGGTCGCCATGCCTGGTCCAGGGCCCCTCCACACCCTGAGTCCTCACTCGTGACCCAGAGCATCGGCCTCCCAGGCCGTGGCACGGCTGCCATGAGCCATCCCATTTCAGGCCCACGTAGTACGGTCTCGGGGGTTCATGGGTGTGTGGATGGAGTCCTTCCTGCCAAGGCAGGGCTGTGAGGGTCCACAAGGTGGCAGCAGGGAGGAATGGGAAATCGATGGCCGCCAGGACACGGAGCAGCTGCCTTGGTATCCATATATCCTTCTGGGGTCACCTGGGGTCACTTTGGCACCATGCACACTGGGGGGGGGTAATCCTGAACCTCCCCCCACTCCATGTCAGGAGACCCCTCAGTGTGACAGCCACATGTCCCCAGACCCTATAGAAAGAACATCCCCTAGGGAACAGATGGATGAGTGCCCTGGTCAGTTTGCACTTTGCCAGGCCAATGACCAGCCCGAGCCTCTGCCTGATTTATTCTTCTTTTATTTATTTATTTTTTGTCTGTAATGGTGCTAGAACTCTGGGCCTGGGCACTGTCCCTCAGCTCTTCAGCTCAAGGCGAGCCCTCTACCACTTGAGCCACAGCACCACGGCTGGTTTTCTGAGTGGTTTATTGATAATAAGAGTCTCACGGAGTTTCTTGCCCGGGCTGGCTGTGAACTGCGATCCTCTGATCTCAGCCTCCTGAGTAGCTAGGATTACAGGCATGAGCTAGTGGCGCCCAGCTTTTTTTTTTTTTTTGTCGGTCGTGGGGCCTGAACTCTGG